GTGTGTGTGTGTGTGTGTGTGTGTGTGTGTGTCTGGACGCGGTTGTCCTGACGACGGCGGCTTCAGGGAAAGGGGCGGGACTGGGAGAGGCTTGGGGCGGAACCTGGGGCGGTCCAAATTTCTGGAATGGGGGAGTCTTGGGCTGATCCAAATTTAAGCAGAGGGAAGCGCGGATTAATCCAGATTCAAGTGTAGCCTTTAAGTTTGTGCACCCTTCACTGCCCCCCTTCCTCCTCCACCTTGGGGTCGACCGCGTGGGGTTTCTCAGTAGGTGGGGTGCTGATAGGTGGTTGATAACCTTCCCGGGATTTTGTGATGTTTTTTGGCGCAGCCATTAAAGTCTTCAAAATTAAATGATACACATTCACAATTCAGTGCGTTGTAATTAACATGAAAGCAATCCGTCCTCAGAACGCAAGGATCTTGGGGTGATGCACAGTTATTGCACCTGTGTTGAGGAAACCTGGGTTGTCTGGCCTTGCGTCTTGCTGGGAGGCTGGGAGCTTGTGACCATATTCCAAAAATCAGCAGGATCATAACTGTGGGCAGGCTGATTCAGAGCAGCGTCCAGACTAAGGCAGACTTTAGATTTAAGGTCATCCACTTATCTCTATATCCACTCGCCCACCCACTCATCCACCCATTCACCTATCCACCCATCTACCCACTCATCCATCCATCCATCCATCCACACATCCATCCATCCATCCATCATTCCATCCTTCCATCCACCCATCAATCTACTCATCCATCAGCTCATCCATTCCATCCACCTCATCCACCCATCTACCCATCCACCTCACTCCATCCCATTCACTTATCCTCCCCACCCACACATGCACTGTCCACCACCCACCCACCCACCCATCCATCCCTAGATCTCATTCAAACCTCCACCCCTCCACCCTTTTCCATCCTCCTCATCCACACAACCACCCACATACCCATCTACCCCACCATCCATTCACTCACCCACCCATAAACCCTTCCACCCCTCCACGGCCCATCTTTCTACCCATCCATCCACCATCCATATCACTCATCCCTCCTCCCCATTCACACATCTACCCACCCATCCATCTACCCATCCCATCCATCCTTCCACCCCATCTACCCATCCACCCCACCATCCATTCACTCACCCATCAAGCTACGCATCCATTCCATTCATCCCTCCTTCCCAACCATACATCCCAACATCAGTCCATCTATTCATCTACCCATCCATTAATTTACCCACCCACTCATCCTTCCCATCCATATATCCACCCATCCAAACACCAATCCATTCATTCTCTCATCCATCCCTGCATCCATCCACCCACCCATCCACCACCCACCAATCCATCCTATCGATGCAGGAAATACTCTTTTAATTCAACACTTAGAAAATTAAATTGGTGAACTCCACCCAGGAACTGACTGCCTTTTTTGGGTTGTTGTTGGTCAATAAAGTTTTATTGGAATCAGGGCCAAGATTAGAAACCAGGCTGGACCTACGCCAGGGAGGCAGGGTCATGCAAATGCAGGATGAGACTCTGTCTCTGGTTCAGTTGTTAACATTGTGCTCATCGTGGATTTGCTGCACGGACTTTGTTCTGAGGGAGTCCTGGTGGTGCAGTCAGAGAAGCGCTGGACTGCTCAACGCAGTTGGCGGTTCAAACCCACCTGAAGCTCCGTGGGAGGAAGACGAAGCTATCTGCTCCTGTCATGACTTACGTACAGCCTCGCAAGCTCTGCCTAGGGTTGATGTGTGTCGGAATCAACTGGTGGCAGCGGGTTTGGATTTCCAGAATGATCTTCTGTGGCGATACTGTGGGGAGTACTGTTGACAGTGGTTGTTGGGTGTTTTCAAATCTCCGTACATTTTGGCGAGACTTCCCTTCATGTTGGTCATGTTGTCGGGAGAGACTAGTCCCTGGACAAGGACGTCATGCTCAGTAAAGGAGGGGGCGGCCAACCAGAGGAAGGCCCTCAGTGGGGTGAGCTGACGCAGTGGCCGCAGCAATGGCCTCAGACATCAGAACGACTGCGAGGACGGCGCCGGGCCCTGTGGGGCTTCCTTCTGTCATACACGGACAGGGTCACCGTGAACCCTTCTGTCGTACATGGACGGGGTCACCGTGACCCTTCTGTCTACACGGACGGGGTCACCGTGACCCTTCTGTTGTACACGCACGGGGTCATTGTGACCCTTCTGT